CAGAAATTAAAGATGCACTTTATAGTTAAAAGTGAGGCATAATAGCCAGATTTGTAAAGTTCACAGCCTGGTCAGTCATAGAGTAAAAAAGTGTGTTCGGAAGAGAATATTAAAGATGTCAAGAAACACTTTGTAAATAAGAGTCTTAGATATGAAAAAGTCTGATGCTGTTCATTTTTACCATGTGATGAAGACTATAAAGACATTTGGGTCTTGCTCCTTCCCTTCCATCATGGCAACTTTGGCTCAAATGGCCTGTGTGAATTAGTGAACTACTGTGCCGGAAGGTGTGTGTGTATAGGTGTGTGTGTGTATGTATGTGTATATATATATATATATATATAACACACACATACACACACACCTTGGCATTAAATCTGTAAGAACTATGGAAGCATGACAACTACAGAGTGTTATTGCCGAGGCTGAACAGAGAGACCCCACAAGAGCAGCCCCAAGTAGAAATGGAGGTTTGGGACCAAGCTACTAGAGAATCCACAGTAGGGAATTGTCCAGTAGAGCTATGAGAGTTGGGCTTCCTCTAAGACCCCAAAACTGTAGGACTACCAGCATGCAGTACCAGCCTGGGACAACTACAAGAATAAGATTCTTGCCCATTAGAGGTGAAGCCTACCTAGAGTCCAGAAAAGCCATAAGTGTGGGGCTACCTAAGGGCCTTTGGGCCCAAACCCCCCAGAGTGTCCAAGGTAACACAAGAGAAAAATCATTCTGGAGCTTTAAGGTTTAATGTTTTTCCTGATAGCTTTTGACCTTACGAGGGACACGTTTCCTCTTTCTTGCCTATTTCTTCCTGGTGGAATGGGAATGTGTATCTTTTGTGTCGTATTTTGGAAATAGGTAACTTGTTTGACTTCACAGGCCCTCTAGTGGAAGGTAAATGCCTGAGGATGAATCTTGACTCTAGTCACCTATTCACTTGAGACTCTGGACTTTACATTCTACATTCTTGAGTTGGTGCTGGAACTTCTTGGGATTAAAACAGATGTATCTTGTATGTGAGGAAGACATAGTTTTAGAGGGGAGGGGTAGAAAATGAAATGTTATGGTTTGAACATTTCAGTCAAAATGCAGATGGAAATTTTATTGCCAAGATACTAATATTAAGTCCAGGATCTTGGGGCTGGGAGATGGCTCAGCAGTTAAGAGCTGACTGCTCTTGCAGAGGACCCAGATTCAATTCCAAGCACCCACATGGCAGTTAACAGCCTTCCATAACTCTAGTTCTAGGGGATCTAACACCTTCTTTGGGCTTCTGTGGGCATTGCACAACATGGGTGCGCCTACCTACATGCAAGCAATACATTCATAAAATAAAAAATAAAAATTTAAAAACTTATAAACTTATTTTAAAAAGACTAGGGTCTTAAGAGGTGATTACAGGCTGTTAATCTGTGCCCTCATAAATGGATTAAAGCTGTTATTATAGATGTGAACTAGTTATCACTAGATTTATCAAAGAAAATGAGTTTCCCCAGTTTCCTCACTACTTGTCTATGCATGCTTATGTTATGGCTGAGAAAAAAAGCACTCACCAGATGATAGTGCCACACTCCTGGACTTCCCAGCCTCTGGAACTGTGATCCAAATACACCTCTGTTGTTTGGAATAGGCCAAGTCTGTGGTATTCTCTTATACCAGCAGAAGACAGATTTAAGATACCTAGAGATATCCGATAATCTGTTAAAGAAGAAACAGATAGAATAAGGCTTTTAAACAATTGGGCAAAGATGGATAAGCGCAAATAAAAATATTTTAGTGGTGACTAAGGCACCTATTTTACTGGTGACTAAGGCAACTATTGTATATAATAGAGCAATGGAAAAGGCAAAAGATTGATTTAATGTCAGTGGCCAATAGTAACTTCTTTTTCTTCTGTGTATAAAATGAAGTACTTGTTCAGAAAGGAGAGTTGAGTTTGTATGTATTAAATTATCTAATGACATGATTTTCACTGATCTGGCTTAGTGCTTTGGACATGTGATATTTCATAGCATAGTACTGTGGTGTTTATTTCCTGAGAACTCACATAGCCTATTGTGTTGCACTTTGGTAATTTTTGACCAAAACATCTGAGTTACATTGTAAAACCTTTTTACTTAGGATCTTGCTGCTCGACTCATTCTCTGTTCAGGTGTACGTTTGCAGTAGCAAGTGAAATCTTCCATAAATAAAATCAGATGACCTCAAAGGTTTTTAACGAAGTTTTTTGGGTAAAGTTGATCACTCACGCATTTTCTGCCTTTCTTAGTAGACATTTTGTGTAAATCTCCTTTTATGTAGAGGGTGCCATTTAAATGTCCCCCTTAAGTGCATATTTGTATGTTAGGTACTCAGATTTTTACAGATTTTAAAAAAAAAAATGCATGCACAGTATTGTGTTGGTGCGCAGGGGGTGGGGGGGATGCTAGTATTAGGAAAACTTTTCTTAATTATTACATGTAATCATTTTACCTACTCAGCAGTGTTTTGGGAGCTAAGATATCAAATCATTGAGACCTTTAGATTATATTACTAGATATTTCAGATTTTTAGTATCTTAATCTTATGGATAAATTTCTAAGTGTATAAGTTTCTCTAACCTCATTTTGGAGCCCTAGCTACCAAAACTGTCAGCCACATACTGGCCAAGTGTATACAGCATCAGAGCAAAAAACAAAGTCAACCAAAGTACTATTCTTCTCTTGGAGTGAAATAATACTCTGTGTGGCAGAATGTCCAGTTCTGTTTTTTAAGTGTCCTAGCATCTGGAGATAACCAGCATGCTACTTAACTGATGAAGCATTCTTGTGCATACTTTCTCTCCACCCTTCTCTGCTTTAGACCCCTAACATGCATTCTATAAACATAGTTCTTAAGGTTTGTTATAATGTATTCTATTTGCAACCTACAGTAATTTATTTGCATTTTAAAAGGCTTTAGAACACAGTGTAGCAATGTTGACAACCAGCGGTCTCATCAAAGTAAGATTCTACTGTAATCTCATAACCAAATGTTTGCTCTGTCCTACATTACGGAGATTGTGTGTGTAACTTTGCCTTATAGTTGAAGAGAGTAACTGACATTTCCTAGTTCTCTAAACTCTTATTTCCAGAGTATAAATTACTTAAAAGAAAAGTCACTTAAATTCAGAATTGCTCACCACAACAACTGGAAAAAGAAGCTGCTGAGAACACAGTATATGGCTCTTTCATACCAGATGTGAAGAACCTAGTTTCTACTCTTAAGCCATTCTGATGGTGGTACATGTCTAGGATATTGCAGAAGATGTGGCTGCAGCAGTGTGCTTGAACACACCATGCAGGAGTGCTAGGCAGAAATGTTACCCATGTAACATGGCAGAACAGATTTCCATTCATATATCCTCTGAGTGTCAGTGATTAAATAACTGAGTTTTGCTTTGTTTTGGCTGCAGATGCATTTGTTGAGTCCCTGCTGTGTGCCAGGCTCTTGACTGAGATAACTAAAGAGAATCTTATAAGAATTTTCTAGAGCTTGTTGTTTAGCATTGAATTAGCTACTTGACTTCCTTAGTACATTTTTTGTAAGACTGTTGTTCTAAGAATAAACAGAAAATGACTACAGGTCTTCGGTTTTTCTTTTAAACAGGTGGTGAGAGGCTGGAGATAATGATTGAATGAGATTTGGGCTTCTTGTGGTTTTTACTTTTCTGTGTGGCATTTCTTTTAGCCTTGCCACCTGACTACTGTGAGGAACTAGGATCACTGGTTTGGTAATGGTAGCATCTGTTCTTTTGGAATCTGGACTTTGAGCAACCCATTTCACAGGTTCATTGAGTAGTCAGTTCCTGTTCTTTCTTGCTTAGAATTGTTTCAGGGGACTTCACCTGTCTGTACAAGAGGGGAAATGCCATTTGAGTGCTTCTTCTGTTACATTTGGGTCCCTCACCTTGGATCTCTAGTGATAAAACTCTTACTTCCTCTTTCTACTGATTGGCAAACGACACCTGAGATTACTCTCATCCCTTTGTCTGAAGAAATGGTGTAGCTCTAGTCAAGGACTACAAAACATTATGTCCTGTCTGGTTCAACCTATAAAATATCTTTTTTCTTTCATTGAATCATACTTTCAGATAAAGGAAAAGTCAAGAATGGAAAGATGTCAAAAACAGCACTAATTTTTTTTATATACCCTGAAAATGCTTTCTTTTAAAATCACATTAAAAATAAGCCATTGGAGAGAATATAAAGTGAAAGATTGTACAAAATAGTCAGCATTAAACACTGGATCCAGTTGTGAACATGGCTAATATGGATTTATAGTTATTTTCTTATAGAAGTTAAACGTTTGCTTGATTATACATGTAATATAGATCAAGTTTTAAATGAAACCTGAGCTTTATTTGTCCATTAATTTAAATGAAAATCTTTTCCCCCATTAAGCTCTGTATTACACTGTTGATTCCATTGCTC